CCTGCTGCTGGCAAAAAACAGAGCAGTTCTCTAACACGACTGACTTTACCTAGGCCAGCTTCCTCTTCTTAAATCATATAAGGCCATTACGGTGACTAAGACCAGTTGCAGTTTCTCCAGCAGGTCAGTTAAGGATGCAGCCCAGGATGCTGAGGCAGGACAGAGGGGATGAGCAGCTCACCCCCAGTAGTGACACAGGTGTCCATTGTCAAAGGCTACATGAGAACAATGCAACCTTCTTGTATAACAAGTGGCACCTTAATGTCATAAAAGGCAAACTGGTGAGCAAACACGGGGAGAATGTGTCAAACTCGGAGATGGAGCTGAGTCTGATCTTCAGTAGACACCTGAGAAAACCTGTTTTCAAAGTCTAGCAGTAGTTTGAAACACTCAGGAAAAACCAAAGTCCCCTCTGACACCCTTTCCTTACCTGTTCCCTTTCACTGGCATCAGGTCACACTGAGATCTCTACCAGAAACACCTATTCAGGTGGCTTTGTTCAGAGCATGGCACCTATGCCCTGGTCATGGCTCAGGCCCCAGGGATCCATGATGTAAGCAGTGAGATGGAAGCAATTACAGCCAGGATGGTCACTTACCCTTGAGGAGCAGCAGTGAACAGCAGCAGCCACACACAATTATTACTGGACTGGGAAGACTCTGGAGTGAGGGAGGTTCATACACTGACCACCGTGAGAGACTAGTCAGTGGTCAGAGCAGTTGTGTGGGCTTTACAATGAAGGGATCGTAGCTAAGCAACCAGCATCTCCTACATGAAGAAAACCTGCTTCCAAACTGGGTTTAGTAACACCTCAGAAGTCAAACAATCAATGCTGGAACACTGCTGACACAGGCACTCTGACACTGACAACACACAAGACAAACCTCTACACTGCCCATGTACTCATGGTCAGGGACTGTTCCATAAGTACATGCTTTCACTAGGGCTACTCAAACATACTTGTCAGATCGGATGCAGATGGCAAGTCCTGCCTAGGACAGCACCAGGCAAGCCAGACACCTCTCCATCACTCCTGCCAGCAATCCTGTGTTTGTCTCCAAAGGCCAAACTTCTCTGGAGACCTGCAGCACCGCACTACCCAAGAGGTGGCCACAGCATTGTGGCACCAGGTGGCCTGGAGGAGCTGAGCTCAGTCCTGCCCAGAGTTCACTACCAACTGGTTCACATGTTGCTCAATGATCCAGTCACACCACCTCGACTCGGTGAGAAATGTCGTAGACTTGGAAGAGATGTAGACTAAAAGCCTGCAGCAGTGACTAATTAAATTTTTAAAAACACATATCCAAGCCATACATCTATCCCAAAACTGCTGCAACTGCACAAGCATCCAGCACGAGCTTTAAGCCAGCTACCTGCAGCACACAGTAACACAGCCATGGCAATAACGCTCACCAAAGGTTAGTCAGCACAGATATTAATCCAGTTTCGGTGGCAGGTTTCACTGCTCTATCATCGGCGGCGCTGCTGTGCTACATCCTCCCGCCCACAGCCGCCGCGGCAGGGTTCGACCTTGTATCACAATCTACATATCAGTACATGCACTCACACAAAGAGCTGGAAGCGTTGGAGGATTTTATTAGGAAGAGCCCAACTTCAAAGCAAGAGGTACAGTACAAATTTGTTACATTCTCTATTCATGGTGCTCATTCAGGAGTAGGAAGGGCTGCCTCAGGGGAAACCCTGCATTTGCATCTGCACCAAGAGTCTTCTTTTGCCTGATGCTAAGAGCGCTCTGAAGTTTCTGTGGAAGGAGAAATGCAAAACACCGAGAGGAAAGAGACCCGCAATGGAAAGAAATGGGAAAACTAATTCGTTCACCCCGAAGAGTCCTTAGTGTATTGCTTGTAGTCACTTCCCAGCAGCTGACAATAGGACTGCTTTTCACAGCTACCTTTCCACAATCCTTCAGAAGTAGTCTGTGATTCCCAAAAGGCTGCAGACCACAGCTCACTGCACAGGTTTTTGAGAGTATGGCCTAAATTTAGGACAGGTGACAAAAACCCAGTGGGCGACCCCAAATTATGCCTATTTCAAAACCTATCACAAAAAAGAACAATTTTCATTTTTTTCACCAGCAATTCTATGCAATTAGATATTTCAATTTGAGATACTCTACCACATTTTATAATAAAAGTGGACACTGGATAGCAACAAAGACTCTATCTCGGTGCATGGCCTTCACAAAAACAGCCAGAAATTCTTCCAAGAAGTTCTGACTGAATCCCAAGCTCTCCCAAGATAGGCAAATAGCATTTTAAAAGATTAGTTCCATTAAATAATCCATAGGCTAAACCCCTTTATGTAATAGGCATGGAGTTCTGCAGATTCTCCAACGTTACACACTTAGGATCTGCTCTGATCTGCAAGCCAAAGACTACAACTTCAGCTCCCTAAACAAAATTGCTGTTAACCATAGAGAAACTGATACATATAATTAAAAGCTGATTAGTGTTACAATATTTCTCCTAAGGCAGGAACTTCGTTCAGCAATTTCCTCTTCTAATCTAAAACAGCTAATAGCTGGCAGCCCAGGCAGAGTAAAACAGATTAGCAGAGTTGTGGCAGGAGTCCTTCTACCCGACTTAACAAAACCGAGCTCCAAGTTTCACCCAACATCAGGAGAGAAAGAACTTGTGGCATCCAAGGAGGTTTTACCTTGCACAAGCATTTCCTGCACAGGACAGCAGTAGGAAGCTCACCTCTACAACAGAAGCTCTCAGCTCTCACTGCTGGCTGAGCTAACAGAGGGAGGAACCACTAAGTGGAAAATGCCAGGATAAACAGGCCTTCACATTACTTCTTACTTGCAACCTGCCATCACTGCCAGCAATAATTCTTTTAGTGTTTGAGTTCCAATTGCAGTGAAACCCTAATCAATCCCTTAAGCAACAAGGTTTCTTCCAAACAAGGGTTTTTGCCATTCTTCACTATAGACCTAAATTTCCCTCAACCTCCACAGATCTTACATCAATATAGTCAGTATGTTTTAAGCTGTTGATAGAAAAAAAGTGCTAACATGACTGGAAATGCTTCATGAGTATCTAAGATTAGACATAGGTATAAAAACAGACTGATCATACTACCACCCCAAGTACTGATGCGCACAGATGACTAAGAAATTATTTCTATTTTGGGGTCTCAAATTTGCAACATCTTATCTCAGCCCACTATGTCATTTTAATACAATACTCCCACAGGCAATAAGGGCTAACAGACAAACTTGCTAGAATCGCTTAAAAACAGTTCTGTGGACAACAACAGCTTTGTCTGTCAGAGCAGCACACAGGGAGGATGTCATTCTGCTGTTGCTAAGGACTCTAATTAGATAAAGACATACAGGTTGAAATGAGCTGTAAATAAAGAAGTCGAACATTTACTAATTTTTTCAAGTGCTGGGGTAGGAACTGGCCCATGTCACATAAAGCAAACATTTGGGGGTGACTTGATCATGTTCCTTAGCCCCAGAAGAGGGGGCTGAGCAGCTAAGTGATAGCAAAAAGTAAAAGGAACTCCTCTTCACACAGGATTAGACGCTAGACACTTATCTTGATAGCTAAACATCCAAGAACTTCCTTCATGCCACTCTCCCACATAAACAACTGCTGTTCCTGGTGTCAGACACTGTGTCAGCAGAGATACTGAACGGTAGATTCACAGTCTGTGATAACACATGGCTACGTAAGGCCAAGAGAAGCTGGCACTGCCCCGTGAGCTTTATGGGTACACACAGCATGTGTCCGGCCTGGAGGCTGCAACAACAGGTTCCCTCCGGTCAGTGCCGCCACACTCGAACCCCAGGCTCCTGGCCAGAAGACAGAGCTCGCGCCTCCTGTCCAGGGGGAAAACTCCAGGCCCCCAGTGGGAACACCTCCACTGAGTAACACGCGCTCCCTTTTTGTAATGCCTGGCCCAGACGGGGCCTTCATCAGCCACCCCTCACTAAGGGACTCTCTGAATCACCCCAGAAACCCCAATACACTCTCTTGTCTTCAGTGCACACCCCCCTAGACCTTCCTCCTATTGCCAGCACATTCTCCCCAGGAGCCCATCCAAACAGACGCCCCAGGCAACCAACTGCATCCCCAATGCCTCCATCCCCACATCCACTGCATATCCGGAAAACTCTTGCATCTCACCCCTAACTCAGGACGCAACCCCCAGCCCCTCTCCCCTTGCTGCAACCCTCCCCCTCACCCCGTGCAACGTCCCCAATCCCAGTGCTTCTCCTAAACCTCTCCCATTCCCACTATTCCTCCCAAACCTTCTCCTATCCCACACAAGGCACCGGCCCCACAGCTCCCCCCAGCTCCATGCAAGACCCCGGCCCCATCCAGGCCGCCTCACCAGTACTTGAGGATGGCGGTGACCTGGAGCGGGTTGGGCTGGTCAGGGTAGAGACGACGGCACTCGCCGTAAATACCGTGCAGCCCCGGCGGGAACAGCGACGGGAAGGACCCGGACCCGGACCCAGACCCCGAGCCGGACCCCGGCCCGCCCGCGGGGGGCCCCCCGCCCGGCCGCACGCCCTCCATGTCCCGGAGGTGGCTGGTCCCGGCCCGTCCCGGTTGGTGCCGAACCCGCTCCGCTCCCGCCAGGCACTCCCGGCCCGGCCCGGCCCGGCCCAAGCGGCTGCGTGGGGCCGCGGATGGAGGGGCGGGGCCTACTTCCAGGCCGCGTGAGTGACAGGCCAGCTCCGCCAATGGCGGCGCTGCGCGGGGCTCCGCGCGGAGGGGGTGGGGCTCCGCTACACGGGCGGTGTGAGTGACAGTACTGTCTGACCAATGGAAGCTCGCGGCCTGGAGGGCGGCCGCGCCTCTGGCCCCGCCCCACGTTACGTTGAGGACGCGCCCCCTAGCGGCGGCGCGGAGCTCAGCGATGGGCGGGGCGATGCCCGCGCGAGGCGGTGGCGGGAACTCGGAGCGGGTCCCGGGGCAGGGGGAGCTCCCGCACCTGGGCAGGCCTGGAGCAGAGGAGGGGTTTGTTATTGCTGCCTTTACACGTCTTCTAACGTTCAAGGCACCTTTACTCTCCCCGTTTGTTCTCTGTGTCTGTAGGTTCCTTGGGAGCAGCTGGAAGCTGGTAGTAAGTGAAGTTTAAAGGCTGTGATCGCGGATTGTGACTTGTGCACAAAGCACACTGGCTCATTCCTGAGTTGCAACTACAATCGTGGTCACGCAAAGCCAGGTATGTAGTGTGGATGGTGTGTGCACAATAGTCCTACACACCTTTGCTAGAGCAGGGTCCTGCTTGTTAATCAGCATATAGAAAAAAATTAACTATAGAGTGCTCATGCTCGATTTCTCACTTAAATAGGTGAGAATTTATTCTAAAAACATTCACAACAACATTTGGGAGAGCACACATGGTCAAGATGCTGGCAGCCAAGTGACAATCCCCTGATAAAGGAGGTGAGCAGTTGGTGTCCTCAATGAAAAATATTTCACTTGTGTTACTGTGATACTACTTTTTTGTGACATCTGCCCGGGTAGTCAGTTGCAGCCAGCAGAGAAGGTGAATGTAAATGAGCGTGTATGAAAGGCTGTGTTGGCTCAATACACCCATAACGAGTGTCTCCTGGGATTCACTGAAGTGATGCGACACTGCCCTTAATTTAAACCCCTCAATCCTGTTGTACAAAAACTCCTCCTTTTAGAGTAGATGAATGGAGAAGGTCACTCAAGGTAAACATCTGGGATGAGACATCTACTAGGGCTAAAGGCAGGAGCTACAGGAGAAAAGTCCATGTGTGCAGGAGAGATGTGGGACAAGACAGGTGAATCAAGCGTTCAGGTGTGCTCTCTGGCATGGAAGTCTGTTTTAATTCATTTCAAGACACAGAGTTTCAGTCATCGATTACTCCAAATGCTTTTAGAATACTTAGTCAATGGAAAATGATAATGTGTTCATTGTTTAATACTGAAAGGCTCATGATGTGCATTCTTTATATAGACATGTCTTTTGTGATTCTCACACCTCAAAAATTGAGAGAAACTGGTATTTCATGGAGGGAACAGATGTGTTATGACCACTGGTTCGTAAAGACGGTCATATAAAATTATGGGACAATAAAAAGGTTTCCTTAGTCATAGATACCCTCTACAGAAGTTGATGGCATCACCTTTTTCTCTTTTCCTATTAGAAAAAATTAGGCCGGCGGAAGTCTATTAAGCGTAAGATAGCCAATTGCGGTGCAGCGTTTTTTATAGAAGTATCCAGCTATCTCCAGGACCGCAACACCCACCGGTTTCAGGGCCGTGGATGCGTCCGCCGGATTCCCTTTTTCCGCACTCCGCCTCCCGGCACATCCTGCTCCTGCGCCGGCCTACAGCTCCCAGCATGTCCCGCTCCCGATATCGGCCTACAGCTCCCAGAATGCCCCGCTCCGGGCGCACCTCCCCGCTGGGCTCTGCGCAGCGTCGGACTATAGCTCCCGGCAGGCGCCGCGGCCGCAGGAATACATCACCCAGGCGGCGCCGCGTCGCTGATCCGCGCATGCGCCGCCGAGGGCTGGGCTGTTGCTCCCTCACGGGCGGCTGCGGCGGGTCCTCGCCATGGAGTCCTACGATGTGATAGCGAACCAGCCCGTCGTGATAGACAACGTGAGTGCGGGCGGCCGCGTGTCCCGGGAGCGGGGAGGGCCCGCAATCCCTTTGTCATCGGGGCGGCCGCGCCCCGCCCGCCGCCGCCCCCCCACCTCGGCCGGCCCGGCCGCCGCCTCCGGCCCTCTCACGGCGCCATACGGCGTCCTCGGGAGGCGGGGCAACTGCGCCTCGGCGAGTCGCGATTGGCTGGGGCGACTGGCAGTCACCCGCAGCGGGGCCGCTGCCCCGCGCTGGGGGGTGCAGCCCCCGCCGCCGCCGAGCTGTCTCTGGCTGGGAGGGGCGGCGCGCCCCCATTGGCTGTGACAGCTGTCAGTCAGCGGAGCAGCCCCCTGCTACCTGCCGGAGCGGGGCGGGAATGTCGCCAGAGTGTCTGTGCTCATTGGCAGCAGGTGCTGTCAGTCAGGCAGGGCTTCTCCCGGCCCCACCCCACCTCTCTTTGTGCCGGGGGGACAATGGGGTGGTGGGCCAGGCCATGGTCGCACTCCCAGAATGCTCTGGGGAAGGCCTTGGCCAGGGTTCCAGCTCCTGGCAGCCTGTGGATGGACCTCCAGCAAGCTCTGGGGGTGCTGGCACTTCCCTGGGCCCATGTAGGACGTTGAGCTCTTCAGCCTCACAGATGCAGCGGGAGAGAAGCCTGCACCCCTTATACTGCCCCTTCTCCAGTGCATCCAGTTCAGTGGTTACAACAAGGCATTGCCATTTCCAAGGCATGGATTCTCATGCCTTGGAATGGCACTGCTAAAGGATCCGTGCCCAGCATGGGTTGCATCAGCGTAGTGTGATGTTGCAGATGGCTGCTCCAATGTGCTGATGCTGCTCATTAGCACAAAGCAGATCTTCAATCTGTGCGTGTAATAGCTCTGTGGGACATGAATGACAATGATTCCATGACTCTTTGAGGTACTTCTGGGTCCAGTTCTGATTTTCCCCATCCATGCTGCCCTCCCAGGAGGATGGACAATCCAGGAAGGGGTGGGAGGGCATATCTTGGACCGAGCCTCCTTCAGTGTACTGAGTCACAAACCCGTGCTCCTCCCATCTGACCTCTATCGCCAGTGATTGAGATTCTGTTGTTTTGAATGGTCAGTACTGTGCTCCATTCTTCCTCCACAAGCTTAATTTCTACTGAATCTTTTTGCCATTTGATATGGGATTCCTGGCCTGGCACTTCTCGACCTATTGCTTTAACTCCATAAGGTGAATGATTGTAGGTCTTCTCAGATAAAAGCGGTTATTCTTCTGACTTCTTCTTTATTATAGATCCCAAATTCTTCTCTACAGCTTGAGCACTCTGATACAGTTTTGGCTTTGTTTATTTCCCTGGAATCTTGCAGCAGAGGGATTTGGGGTAGACATTGAAGAAAAGCATCTAATAGAAAATGAGAGTAAGCAGTAAAATTGACTCTGTTGAGAAAAACATGTATCTTCTTTTTTGAAGATGTTAAAATTGCATTAAGTTGTTTTATTTTTAGGAATAACTGTATCAGCACTGATCCTGTTGTTTTGTTGAGTGATTAGCTAAACAGTAAAGTTATCTCTTGGTGTTCTGGCACTGTGAGGATGACCTTGTTCAGCTATTCATGTAGTAGCAGCCTATATTTAATTTCAGCATGTCCTTTTGTTATTTAATGCAATGATTGCTACCCCTGCCTCAGACCTGAAGAAGGGCTCGTGTGCCAGCAGCTGATTCTGTGTCTCTTTTCATTTTATCAGCTGGTCTTATAAAAGCTAATTCTTGTTCTTGCCTCTCCGTTAAATGAGCTTCCCCCCTTCCCCTCCCTGTACAAGAAGTAGAATGGAGCAGTTGTTGTGACATCTGCCTGGAACGCTGGTAGGCTGTGGGCCAAGGAGACTCGTGGTGACACTGCATTTTTCCTACTCTTTGTAGTTCAGGCAGGACGGGAAGTGGAGCTGCACAGAGCAGGTACCACTCTTCCCACTGCTGTTCCATTACTGCTTTTCCTCAGAGAACTGCAGGCACCTTCTGAAGGCTGAATATTATCCTGTCTCATGTGTGCCTGTGTGTGGGAAGGGGGAACTGAGATGCTAAGCTGGTGGCAGCCAGACCTCACCAGTCCTAGCCCTGCTCTAGTATCTCAGTGTGTTCCAAAAGGATGTGAAGTTCTGTAGCTAAAAAATTAAGAGGGAGGTTTTTTTCTCTTACCACACATTGCTCTTAGCTGTATGTTTTCAGCAGGGAGAGCTTTGTAATGTACAATGGGAGGTTGGAGCTGTACCTCAGCACAGTTTTACACTTTTCATTGTCTAATTTTTAAGAGTTGTATTCTCATCTGCAGTCCAACAAGCTCTCTCTGAATGGTCTGGGAGCCCTGCTCAACAATGCACATGTCAATAGTCCAGCTGTGGCCTAAGTCAATGCAAATTCCTTGACCTCAATGCAACATGGCAGGCATTATCTCTTGTTTGCTTTGTAGTCTAAGTCGTGGCATTTTGTGCAGCTGAGCTGTCAGCAAGGGTTGTGCCTTTGGTTTGTTCTTGATCTTATAAATTCTGTATCAAATAAAAAGTTTTACAACAATATGAAATGTGCATTCTCCATAGAAAGTGCTACATGGAAGATTGATTGATTAGTTATTTCCATTTAAATTTGAGTCCTAAATGCATCAAGATGAATGAATCCATAGCCAATTGGCTACAGAGCTAGTAGATGAGGTATGTTCAGTTCCTTCAAGACACGAGAATTTTAAATTAATTTCTCTTCCTTGACCTTTACATTTTATATGTAGTTTTTCTTCTTTTATTCTTTTGCTCTGATTAAAATAAAAAAATGAATTATAAACCCCTGCCAAACAAAATGGAATTAAAGCCCAGCCAGAATAGTTACTGGTAGAAGTATATAAATTTTAAATTTTTTAAAAAGTTTTAATAAATCAGAGTTTGTAGCAGAAGAGAAAATGCATGTGGTTTTGCTTATTTGGAACAAAGACGAAAAAACAGGTCTTTTCAGAGTTATTTCAAAATGTAAACATTTTCCTCTCATTGCATAGCAATCTCAAACTGATCTATAATAAACAGATTTACTCAGTGCACACATATCTTCAAAGAAGTAACAAGTTTTCAAGAAAAATTGCATAGGTCAGAAAGTGCAGTCAGGTCTTTGTAGTGCAGAGATATCAAACAGCTGTTCTTGGTTTATTCCCAGGCACTTGGAAGCACAACTGTGTAGAAGCCCCATCCCACCGGCACATTCAAAGCAGTCATTCATCTTTGACTCCAGGTTGGAGTCACATTTGGTTAACTTTGAACTTCAGTATGTAAATCTTAAAATACATAACTTGCTGGGAATCTCACTAGGACTCACTCGGTAATTTTTGGCCTGACATAAGGAAGTTTCAATCTCTAAGTTAAAAGAGGAGTGTCATTGTTCTCCTGAAACCAGTTCCTCACAGCAGAATGTGCTAGCAACAAGATCAGTCATTATCCTGAACAAAATATTCACTAAGTGCAATATTCTAATGTGGTTACATTATGTTATTGCATTTCATTCAGTTATTTTTCTGCAAGACTTGCCACAGGATGGTATTCTTTCCCAGGAAGAGATTTATAAGCTATGATAACAAAAATCAAAATAGTGGGTTTTGTTTATTCCGTATTTCACTTTGAAGGGAATATCCAGAAGAGAGTCTGTCTCAAGGGAAGTCTTTTTAACACTTCACAGACCACTTTGCCACACTGATATCAGTTAGGGCAGACCTTGGGATGCAACTGGAGCTGAGTCCCTCATGCCAAAAGGAAGTAGTTAGTCTTGCCCGGTTGGCAGCTTGGGTGTGCTCCTGGAGCCAGCCTGGCTGCAGGTGTTTATCAGGAGACAAGGATTCAAGCAATCTACCTTTCATATGCTTTATAAATAGCTATGTCTGGTTTGCAGAGTATCCCTGGCACTCATCTCCTACGTTTGTGTCCTGGCAAATCTGGCTCTGGTGGCTTAGAGGCAGGAGTATCCCGGCTCTGGTGTGCAGAGCCTGACGTCCTGGTTGAAACTGCTGATGGAAGTAGCCTGGCAGCAGAGTGCTGGACTGTGAACGGGAGAGCTGGGGCCACCCCGCATTCCTTTCTGCTGAGTCTGCTCTGGCTGGTAACCTCTGGCACTGGGAAGGCAGCATGGGAAACCACTGCAGCCAGGGCTTGCCTGACAGAACCCTGAGCAACTCATCTGGCCCCAGCCTTGAAGTGAAGGTGGTGATGCTGACCTATACAGAGGTGGTGAGAAGTGGAAAGCTGTGAAGCTGTGTTGCTACTCATTTTAAAATGCTGTGGGGGAGCCAAAATGTCTTTTTGGCCTCAAAACCAGAACATTCCTATTGCAGAGCCCTTGAGAGTGAACAGGCACTTCACAGGTCACAGCATTCAGTGCAAGCTCGCACACACTTTGCTCTCACCATGGGGCTAAGCGGAACTGCTCCTCTTTCTGCAGAAGAGCTTGTGCCCATCATAGTCTGGGATTACCAGTGAAATGGCTTATCTG